TGCCAGTTGGGAGGAATCGTTTCACCGGGACCTATTTTGGCCTGATCCAACGTGAACTGTACGGCTACAACGGATTTTCTATTGGCTTACTAACCGATTATTAACCAGAAGACGTTAGAACGAATTCGTTACGAGTCACCTTTACGCAATTCCACCTTTGCTATTAAACGAATGAAAATCCGATATATACATATCTAATAAATTCCGATCCGACGTCGGTTAACACATTACGAACGATGCGTTTGACAATTTTTTATATTACATATATTTTTTGTTTTATTATTTTTAAACATTTAATAAAGGCAATGTCTATAGTTTTTCCTGAAAATTTGTCCGTAATGTGTTAATAATATTGTTATTTATTTATTTATTTTTTTTTACACGTACAAAATAACGTTCGTTATTATTTAGGATGATTTTGTAACTAGAATATACGTGAAATTTGTACGCAGATACGTAGTAAGTTTGATTAGTTAATAAAATAGAACAGATATTTGAAAATTGTTTTCGTATTTAAAAATTACATGTTATGTAAATACTTCTCTATTGTTCTATTATTTATTATATATTGTCATTGTATCTAATCTAACTGCGTCTGGAATTGCGTCAAGGATTATATAAAACAGTTACTTTCTCTCTCATTCTGAAAAGTACTACTACTGGTTGATTTCCGTCATTGGCAGGTGTTCGACTTTTCCACTATTTCTATTTCGATCATTTTCCTATTATTCGTCATCTTATAAGAAAAAGCACGGAAGTAAGACACAAACCTTACATACCTAGTACATTAACCTTTAGCATAATAATTTTCGTATATAAATATCTCATTTTCATTTGTTTCAATCACGTCAAGTTATTCGTGGCAGACAAACAACATGTATTTGCAGGTAAATAACCGAAAAAGAATCAGTTTCTTTCTAAACATATCAACGTTACATAGCAATACTTCCAAAGTTACCTCTACGTAAATAAATTTTACAAAACATATCTGCAACTGTGCCGTTTGGCTGTCACGAAATCGTACATGGAAAATCGAGCACTTGCCAATATTTAAAACTCTCCATACGAAAGTACCCATTCATGAGAGAGATCAACAAACGATCACGTGGCAATGGAAGGCAGAGAAAAAATGGACAGATACGTTATGATAAAGGAGAGTGAGGGAGAGAAAGAGAGAGGAACGTGATACGTGTAAGAGTGCTAAGCCGAGCTACTCTGTGTCTGCTAGAGCCGGTATAGGAAGAAAGAGAAAAGAGATCAAGTGAGGTCTGAGGCATGTTGACCCGCTGCGCTTGGTTTCTCAGCATCGGCGGCCCAGGCACACCGTGTGCTGCGATTGCCGTCAACCTGGGGTTCATCGAGGCCGTCGATCATCGGACGAGGTGACGATTTCTTCGTGCGATACGGAGACAAGGAGCGCGAAGCTGTGGCCTCGTTTGACTTCCTCGACGAGATCGTGGCACCTTCCTCGACAGGCTCGAACGCTAGTCTCATCGATTTGGATGACACACCACCTACAGAGCTTCGTAGCGACATCATGAAGCTTTCTCCTCTTTAGAATCAGCTTCGACATAGAAGTCTATCGTAAAATTGCACGTTGACACGATGGGAGCACTCTTGTAAGGGTAGGAAAAATATCCTGTTTTAATTGTAGGTCGGCGCGCATACTTTGTTACACTATGGTGAACTTACGCTGCGCCGTTGTTAAGCTTCAATGCTGTATCAAAAATACATAAGTACATGAAACTGAAATCTACGGAGACAAAATGTATTATAACATTTTGAAGGGTACATTGATTTTTTTTTATTACTCTTGTTAAGTCGCGCGTACACTTACATTACACGTACACTTACAGCGAGTAATTTGCATATAATTTCGATGGAAACGTACAAGTTGCTCTTCTTGTACGAATATATTCTACGGGTGTTTTGCTAAGGGTCAGTATAGTGTTATTGCGACGATATCTATTTATTTTTGTTAAATTACTCCAAAAATCTTCGACACAAATTTTCAACGATGTGTATTCTTTTTTCGTAGTATAACGTATAAAATATAGAGAAAATTCGATAGTATAAAAAGAATTTTTTCTTATACTCTCTTATTACTTTAAATCGTACCTCCTTTTTGGATAAACATGAATATTTCTGCACAAAATTAATTATTAAATAAATTACCGAAATAAAAGCCACTAAACGTAGGTACTGTTATATTGTTTGCCTATTTATCATAGAGATTCTCAAGATGTACATCTTTCTTTGGTGTCTAATGACTTGCTACTTGTTATCACATTCGTAAATATTCAAATCTGTAAATAGGATATTGATTTTCTTATAAATAAGAATAATTATTCATGATCTACTTGCATCTTGAATACCATGGTGTATTACGGCTTTTATAAATTTTTAGATATAAATATAAATTATTATTGAGATAATCACAATATAAAAAATATTGTTTGACTTTATGGTGAAAGCTTAGGTATATAATTTCTAGAATTAATGCTCATTTTTTTGTTTGAAAACTTCCTTTGAACAAAACGTTAGATGAATTTCCTTTTACCTTTTCTTTATATACATGAAAAGTCCTAGAACAATTTATCATACTTGAAGTATGCTCTTGCTCACAAGATGGAAGTAGACTCCTTAATTATTATATACACATAAACATTAAAGTATGGATAACATTATCTAAGAGGTGGTCTATACATATATACAAAAAAATACTATTAGTGTAATATGTACAGTATATGTGAACTATCATGAGAAAAATATCATAGACTGGAACTATGATTATAGGTTACTGTACACTTGAATACATATTTCAAATAGTACTTCCATTGATGATCCTGGCAGGATCATAAAATATCAGGTGATCTTAACAAAATCTACTTCTTACGCACATGAAATTTAATTTACACTTTTAATATACGTTTCATAAAGAATTTTAAAGGTTCAGAAGTCGATTACAGCAAATCATGATTGGAACGTAACTTTAAAATATTTAGATAGAACAACTGTTTCTACATTTTTCAAACCAAGACATATAATTTAAAGAATGCGATGTCGCGTATTATCTTCCCAAAATTGAGCTTAGAAAAATTTAGATTAAGAGTACTCGACGATTTTGTATGAATATGAATTTGTACTCTTCTTCGTCGATCATCAATAAACGTTGAGGACATACTCTAATATCCTGTTGTTGGTATGAGACACGTGTTATATGTACGCTATGAGTGGATATAACCTTTTGTTCCGTCCTCAACGAAAATATATTGAATGTAATACTTATGATCTGTAAGATAAAATAGAAGAAGTTCAAATTCAAACGGATATATTTAAAATACGCTCGGCGAATGAGTCATACCTAGATGATAGAAATAACGTAAGTAAAAAAAACTCGCAACAGAAAAATAGTAACGCTATGGTCAAAACGCCGTACCAAGTAGATAATTTCGTCATAACTTGTACAAGATAATTCACACTATTTCAAGAACATATAACGTTCGAGATAAATCGTTAACTTGCGTTTGGTCAAATTACTAGAAATAATATAGTTCATATAATGTTTAAGGTATCAAGTCGATAGAAATTGAAATATTTTACACGTAGGTATATATATATATATATATTAAATTATATAATATATATATGTATTAAACACGGTGAACATTTTCAATATTGAAATGGAGACTGTACGAATATAGAATTGTATTTTCCATTAGTCCATTTTTTACACACAATTTCTTATTATCATATATACAATGTGTATGAGACTAGAATAATCAATTCATCCTTTATGCATATGTTAAAAAGAGATAAAAAATACTATACATACATATTATATTGAAATCCAGTATATTATTATTGTTTATATCTAATGATTACATAAAACTTTACCGCATCGCTGATTTTAATATTTAATAACTACAACGAAGAAGTTCCAAACGAAAACAACTTATATCCTGCAGTCTCAAAGTAATCGTTTAATGATAGTTATAAGGTACGTGTGAGATGCATTATATCGAAAATGCGATGATTAAAGCACCGATCCTCTATCCCAATTGACAGAAAGAAAATCCATCGATGGATATAAACTCGTGATTGGGACATTGTAAATAGTATGTATTATAGCACAACAGATGTAAGTTATCCTCTCTTGAACTTAATAAATAACGACAATATAACGAATGTAAAGGCGCATATTCGATGTTCAATCTAGAAAACCGTTCCTATAAAAATAATATTGATATACATATAAATATTATCAGCCCACTCGATCATATTGTCCATTAAGATAGACAAATATTTCAATAAATAATAAAAGTAATTTAATTATGTGAATGTTTCATTTGCATGTAAATAGCTGTAATAGTTAGATACTGATGCATAAATTAAAAGTATGATAGTCTCAAGTTTCGTAAATTATAAGATTAATTTCTTTTAGAGAGACAAAATAATATGTTAATAATCTTAAAAATTTGGATCAAATAAATTTTATTACAAGAAATAATATATATTTCGACATCCTCTGAAAAATATAGTGAATGTGTGCTGTATAAATAACAATATAAACAGTATTTTATAAAAGCATCTGAAAGCACTGTGTAATACATATGTATTTTTTTAAATATTATTATAAAAATATTTTCCTATGATAGTCGCAGAACTACATAATGCAATGTGACTTAACTTATTGTTTTAGTGTTTTACCAGAATATTCCGTAATGTTTAATTTTATATTATAAAAAATGATCTGATATTCTGGTGCATCAATAACAATTTTTGCTAATTGTGTGCAAAAGACATTATATTACATATATAGATATATTTATATATATATGTATATATATATATGTATATATATATGTGAATGTATACAACAAGAAGTGGCATGAAATGTATCGAATCTCTAGAAACGTTTTGCACCAATTATTATTATTAATGACAGGTTATCATTATTACAATTATTTTATTTGTCGCACATAAAAAAATATATCCAATTTAACAGAAATGTACCAAAATTAAAAATATATTAACCCCTTAATGATTTACGTTCGAGAATTTTGGGCCGAGAACGTAAACAAGCTATTATATATTATATTACATATTATATTTGGGCCGATCATCGTACTACGGGCTACGCCCGTAGTTGGAAGTTAAGGGATTAAATAACATGTTTATACATTTCATATTACATACAAAGTGAAAATTTAAACAAAAATCGTGCTTCAACTTAGAAAAACAGGCACTTTTCCCGTCTTCGTTTTCATTGATCCATTTAAAAAAATATCTAAATTTGTTTTCATAGAATAACTGCACTTCTTCTGTCACTTAAAATCAAATTATTAATGGTAGTGTTACCAATTATATTACTTTTCGTTTTTAATATATATTTCTTTGATTCCTGCGTTCAGCGTTCCTTATAGAATTTGCCAAGCAAAGTGCGAATATGATTCCGATCAACTGAAACATGATATACATAATTTATATACAGATCTTACATATTCCTACTATATTTTATAGTACACTATATACTTTATGTTGTATATATACATAAAACACAGAAGGAATTATAAAATATCGTGAAAATCGGCACAAATACGGCTCACTAGTTTTATTTACGACTAACGCGATATTTACTGAATACAGCGATAAAAAAAACTTACCTCAACACCGGCAATAGCAATAGCTAAGCTGCCAAGTACAGTTCCAGCGTTCGAGATCGCTTGCCTTAATTCTGGCACACAGCCTATCTCATACACATCGTTTGAAGAGCAGGTTTGATTTTCTGCTAAACCACAGCAACTTGGCGGAATACGGAGATTGTGGAGAATGAAATCTTTCGAAGAATAGACACCACAGCAATGCAACTGTACAAAAGCAATCCGAATTTGATATATCATAACGTTTTTAGATAGGATGTTTTTCGGTAAGAAGAATGTTTTTCAAGAAACGAATACCTTCTTTCATTTAACAACCGTAAAGTTACTTACGCTACTCTGCACAATATCAATCACTCTTGTGCTTTCTTTGTCCGTGCCGTAATTTTTGAATATCTTCTCGTAATTCTCGGAGATATCAATCTTGTCATCGCTGTTTTTAACAACAACAAACACATAAACAGCAACTGCCACTTGCACGATTAAGATGAACAAAAGGAACGATGCGAACTAAAAGAGGGAAATAATTTGTATCTTATTAAGTAATATCTTTATAATAAAATGTTAGGTGGAATTTGAAGTGATAAATATGATCAATATATTTACGGTAATTGTCATGCAATGACTCTCCCGGATGGCGCCACAGCATCCGAAAAATGATATTATGAAGATTATGCTGCCGATAACGATCAACGTTATCGATGGGAATAAAAGATTGGTATCAATGTGATCGGTTATTTCTGACACTCGCAGATGTACAATAACGCCAAGAGTTAAAATAGCCAATCCACATATCTGCAACACGTAAAAATGTCAAGGATGAACAAAAATTCAATTTGAGTAAATATAATACAAAATATAATATATGTCTAATATAAGAAATATAAAATTTACAAAAAATATCAATTAGAGGATTATTTGATAATATTTAATATTATTTCATTTTAAATTAATTTTTGTGCCACTTTTAATCGATTGGATTCGAGTCGAGTTTCTAAATATATATACCGATTGAAGGTTAAGATAGCAACTTATTACATCACATTGCACAATATTAACCGGTTGGCATTGAACATTCTGTAGACGGTACACTACAATTGCAACCGTCCGTAGGTGAATTTAGGTCATGTTCCAGGTGCGAGCCAGGTGGTAGTTGAACAGACTTTCAACAAAGCATACTGACAATAGACCTGGAGCAAATCAGGATCTTTTCAATAAAATACACGTTCAATGGTACAAAAGAAATGAGCAACCAAAAAAGAAGATAATAAATATCGTTGGACAAGAAAAAAGAAATGTTAAAAATTCCTATAGTAATATCAACGGACTTTTTTATCAATAAAATTTTGAGTCATCATTGCCTTTCTGTAATGTAAATTATCTGCATTCCATATTACTTACAAATTTACCAAAATCCACGATGATTCAAAATAAACAGAATACAATATATGTAAAGAATACAATATTCTAAAAATTTCATTTTTATTTTTGTAATGTTTAACAACTAAGCACAGTATCTATATAAATGAATTTTCTTGTTAATATCAAGTGTCTCATTGATAAAACAAGAACAATGATAATGCTATCTGCTCGATACTTGAAACGTTTTTTAGACAAGAGACAAAAAATATTTACAACGTAACATACGCAAGTCTTTCTAACTAATACAATCTAAGTAATAAAATTCTAAGTAATACGATCCTGCATATCATTGTTATGATTGTATCGAAATATAAATTTTGATTGATATAAATATCTCTTTTTAATCGGATAACTAACTTCAAAATAGATACTCTTTCAAGAAACCATGTTATCATAGGAAAGTTATCTAAAATTAACGTTTTAGCAATTGTAAAAATATAATGCGATTAATAAAACGGAGTTATTAATTTTTTTTATTTTACAGATAATATCAAATCTTTCGTAGAATTTTACAACCGATCAGAAATATAATAATAATAATAGCTACTGTTAAATGTAAACTGTAAGCGATCGTGGATGATAAGCAATCAATGATAAGATATTGCTATGGAGTACAATCATTTGATTGAAGTAGGAAATAGACCAATAAACGTTTCAGTGAAATTGCGATTGCTCGAAGTTTTGTTTAGATTAGATGTGCACAAATATTGATCATGGCATCGAGATCAGATAAATAACTTCTTAAAATATTGAATTGAGAAAAAAGCAATCTCGAGGGCTACTTCGGCAACGTCTAATCAGAAAATCGGTTAGGAATCACTTGAGATCACGCAAAATCGAGCAGAATTAAAAATTCACGATATTGAATTTGTCAAAATTAATAATAATTAATAATTTTCTAAGTTTTATTGATTCTAAACCATACATCATTATGCTCACTATCAGAACAATTCATTTTCACAGATCAAATTAAAGAAAGAGATTCTAATGTAGCGTAACTTTCTTTTTTAGAACTAGGTGAGATTCTAGTTTTAGAAGTTAAATTATATTTCACGAGAATAAACAGATCAATGGTTGTACTTCGCTTGAGTAAAGCCAATTGCATATCAATACGTAAATACGCCGTTTGTATCCTTGACACTTTATATTGTAGTATATTTCCTTTGTGTCTCGCGTATGTTTGAAACTATTGTGATCGATACTGAGAGTTGGACATGTGAGAATGTCTGTCACGCAATTTTTAGTCCGCGATGTGAATTTATCATTTGAAATCTGCTTACAATTCCTCGGCTATAGCTTCCTCGAGTTGGAGGACTGTACACTTCGATTTACTTGGAATAGTTATTTTCAAGTTATTATTATTATTCTTATTATACAAGTTTCTACAGTAGATTTTAAAGAATCGAGAACAATTTGAAGATCGATGCACAGACTCTTAAATGATGAATGTGTGACACGGAGGAGCTCATGGGAATTCAAGACTGATTCTAAGTGGCGTGATGCATTTTGTCGAGAATAAATTCCAATAAAAAAAAAGCGTAACGGTGCGTTATTTAATCTATGCATTATTCAGAAATTATGATACTGTGCCTCTCTCTATCACTCTCGATGATGAAACATCAATATATTTACAAGCTATTTACGTATTTCTTTCGATTCAATTCCCAATTATTATCACCCTACCTTTGATCAGAAAAAAAGATACGTAAATTGTTGAACTCCAATTGAAGTGTTATTATTTAATTATATATCCATAAAATTAATCGTATTTTTGTTTAATATTTTTACTTAAATAAAAATTTTTATATGAGCCTATAATGACGAAGATGACATTCGAGAGAAAATTATCATGATAATTGTAACGTCTAAGATGTCTCTCACTATAAGGATTAAGAGTTAAGAACTTTTGAAGTCATATCAAGCTGGTTTAATCGGACACAATATTCCTAGACGTGATAACATGAATAATCAGAGAATAGAGAACACGCGAGCTATATACTTGATCGCTCAAACTAGATGACATCATCCTATTCAACATATGCCTCGGTACTGACTTCCTCTGAAACAACATACGTCTCTGTCGATGGAAATAAGTTTCGAATTGACTTTATCTGAACTGTACGTTCTTTTAACTTGCAGTTTGTTTCTCGTATTCATTTATATCTCCGCCTGAACAAAGATTCTTTCTGAATGAAGAGCCAAGCTCTGCCATCTGGAACTTTCTAAATGAAAATCGTGTAAAAGTAGTTTGTAGCTTGAAATATTTGAAAAATAATACTGGACAATTTTATAGATAATTCCAAGTTTTCCAAGAAATCAACAGAAATATAATCGATATTCAATAACACAGAGTTTATCTTGAGATCGTAATCAATGATTTTAATGAAAAACTATGAAGCTAATTACAGTACCATGATAATAATCTTATTTTACGTCATTTACATTAATAGCAACGTTAACAATAAATCATAATATATTATCAAATAATTGAAAGAGACAGTTTAGAAATTCGGAAAGATTGATATTTTATACAGAAAATATTATTCATATATGTTAATACATTTCACATTTCCGAATAGGAAAAAATATTCTAACGCCAGTAATAGTTCGTTTTGTGAGTACATAAATCAATTTAGCCGTAAAGCTTAATGCTTGCAGTTAAAACTACTATAGGCGTATTGATAGTTTCAGAGAACGATACTTATTGGCACGTTATTGCTGTTAATTGACGGTATAAAGCATCATCGTTCCATCATCTAGAGTTCTTTTAAACATGCAATGCAAAGTTAAAACGAAAAAGAAGAAAAAAATATATATTTTCAACTGTGTCACGTAATGGAAATGGTTTCAATTTCAGAAAAATCAACTATCTTGCTAGCTTTCTAGAACGCTAATAAAACCTGTTTTCGGTTTGAAAAACAGCGAAGCCTTGAAAAGTGTTCCGTCGCGACACAAAAGAAACGTTGCCAAACGAGCAACGTCTTCTTTTTCTTTTCTCTGTTTGAAAAATCTCGCATACGTAGCTACGTTTGTAGTACCTGCGCGCAAAATACCCGAAATATACCGAAACGCAGATGAGTCAACATTTCCAGGACAAGGTTTCTGACGTATATATAATCAAGTTCATGATAACAAAACTATAATGAAACGCGATACAGTCGTCGAAATTTATGAAAGACTGTGAAAAGCAAACGGAACCGGTTATTTCACCATTGATCCGATATTTATTTCTATTCTTAGAAAGAGTAAAATCGTGTACTTCCCTGTTGCGGCGATACTTTGTGAAATGCTACAAAAGTCGATCCACTGTATTCCACGAATGCGTTAAAAAATTACGAAAACTATATTCATGTACGCTTTTATATGTTAGCTTGTTACCATGATTCCTTTTTACACAAGTCGATTCCTCAAATAAATCTTAATATAAACTTAATTGTTTGTATATGTCTATAGATTAATATAGATCATGATTTTAAGGTAGAAATTTTGCGTAAGATTAATCGCTAATATTAAATACACAATGTAAATACGATAGAGCAGATTTATATGATAATGATATATTAAATAACTACATAAAATAAATAGTGCAACCTTGCTTTGTAGATCAACTAATTTATCGCTTTTTTATATTGCTACTTCGTATGAATTATTGATCGCGTAGAAAACTGGTCAAACATTTGGAGTACGTCATGCGTTAGTATGTGTAATGCATATCGTTTCACAGAATACAGAATGAGATTTAAGTTTATCTTCAATAGATTTGATAGCCGACCAATGTGTCAGGCAATCCTTTTTACTCGTGTTGGATTAATTGTCTGGTTAGGGAGAAAGAGTTATCAGCGATATACTAAATAGATGAATTGTATACATCGATCGTTTGACGTACAAAGAATCCAGCTCAAGTTATTTCAGTCAAACAATCAGTCTGATTAATTCTTTTTATTCGTTTACGTAATGAATTAAAATTTAAAAATGCCAATACTTAAATATTATCTCATTCGTCAAGCTATTATATTACGGCAATCTCAAAATTTCACTCAGTTTTACGTGCCAATTTTATATAGGTTTCTGTGCCAAAATTTTATTTACAATATAGAAATCACACAGTGGACAATTTAATCTCCGTTTATTCAACGCTAGACGTGCTTGCAATATTGTACTTTTTCATAATGGACAAAGACAAAGAAGAAAATGTACTACCGATCGCATGATCCCGTTTCGTACGTGATGTAACCAGTAACTACTGGTATCTCAGTACCTCGTGGTACGCTCGAAAATTACTATGTTACGTAAAAAATCTAATACAAAAGACTGTGAGTAATAAAAAAGACTATGTGTAATTATATAGAAAATGGTTAGAAGAGAAGCAAGATTTGATTGAAATAATGAATACGGTTATGTGGTGGAAATATTTTTCTGATTGAACCATTCTCTTCCAAATATTCGGCAATTATACAAGAAAATCAAGAAAATGCCTTCGATTCACCTAACTTATTCACTATACACAACTTCTTTACCAAAACATACAGATTATCAAAGAGCTTTACGGCATCTCACTAGGAAGCTATGCTATGTATGTAAAAACAAACAATTCAGAGGATTCAATATTTTTTAAAATTATTTTTCGACATTTATTGTTAAATAGACAAAGCGTAATTTTCAGCTATAATATTTTTATTTTCATATTTCAGTGCTAATGTTACTAGTATTATTGTCGACGTTAATTAACACGATTTCAGACTTCCCGGAAAATGGCGTCATATATATAAATTGTGAGATATCTCAGAACATGCCCATAATCACGAGCAAATACCGCATGACGTTGAATTTACATCGTGATAGCGATTAAATTTCACACCAGCGTACTCTAAAACTCTACCTATGTATGAGTTCTTAATGACACAACGCACAATACAAGAAACGATTCCTTTAATTAACGTGGAGATATCAACAACTATAATAAGACATACACCGAATATTTCACTTTGCAACGATTCCTATTATTCATAAAGTGTTCTTACATAAACACATCTCATTATATGTAATTTGCATTTTTAACTATGAATGTACAGTAGTATGAACTCTGAATTCATCCAATATTATGAAATATTAATGCAAAATATATGTAACATATGTAAAATACATGCTCGAGTTACTTGAATAACATGATAGTGTTTAGAAACGGAATATAAAGGTGCGTTCTTAACGATCCATAAAATGTCAAGGATACTACAGTTCAACCGAACCTTGACTAAAACGTACAATTTAGAGCAGAATTACATCCAGTTTTTCTCTAACTGGAGGGGAGTTTCTCTGAAGAAATGACGCAATTCCATTGTAAAACATGCAAACCGTTGTGATCTAATATCCCAGTTTTATCGTAGCAGTTAAACGTCAGAACGTGCTTTCTTATTTCTACAACCCTAAAATTCCAACCCCATTTCCTGTTTTTCTCTTGCTCTGTTTCACAAATAGAAAACCAGTTGGTGACTAAACCTAGTCTCGACAGATTCCCTAAGAAATATTTAAAACTCTTTTTAGTACCTTTTTCTCTTCCACTATAAACTATTCCTTTCCTAAATTTAAGAAAGAAGAAGAGCCATCTATAATCCGGCCATTTGGTAGGTAAAACAGTTTAAAGGTTTTTGAATCGTGATCTTGCAGAGCTTGTTGGCTTCGAAGTTTACTTACCAAAAATATAAAATTAAAAATAAAAAGCAAATATTTAATACAATCCGAGATGCAACTCATCTTGATCTTTTCACCACACGATTTTGATGACAAAAAATTAAACGACACAATCGAAACAGAAGAGAAACGCGCGTAACGTCACAAGGACGATCGAGGCGATACGCACACTGATCTAACGAGACGAACGTGGAACGAGCATTAAAAACACCTACGGTTAGCGTATCTACCGCAATACGTGAGAAAAAGTCTCTTCATTCTATCTCTGTTTCTCGTCCACCAATGCAACATACACTCATCATTCGGGATTCCCTGGCAACCAATGATTCGCGTTTACGTCATTTGTGAGAGAATGCAATTTCTTAACACTATATGCAACACTACTATTATTAAAAAAGACGAAGAGAGAAGAACGTGCTTGCGAGAGATCAGCAACGTAACCTTAAGACATAAAAACGTAAAATCTCGATAGGAAAAAAACGATAAGAGTTCAGCATGAGTTTACAATCATGCAGTTTATATATCGTCTCCACTGATAATTTGCCAAGAAACAATTACGTTTTAGATTACTAAAAATGTTATGGAATTTTACTTTTTGATCAGTATCGATTTAAAGACTACATTTTTATCTTGAGATTACATTATAGAAAAAATTATTGAGGTTGAGATATAGATGTTCTACTTCAACTACTCTATCTAAGCAAACTTTATAAAATCGAGAGTACACCACAGTTCTAATACAACTTGAATCGTTACATCGATTATTTAATATGTCCGGTTTATGTCCATTATGATTAGGGTTAGGGGCGTGTAACGAATCTTCATTTGAATTAGACATTGTTGTTATGCAATAGAGAAGATATTTACTAATACAAATATGATTATTAGTACAAGTGTGGATATTGCAGAATTGACAACCGCGGTCAACGGGATAACAAATGTACTTTCTTACAAAGTCTAAGTTGGACTCGATCTACTTGTCTACGGCACAAGTATTACTAAACTAGCTCTTTGTTAAAACGTAAAGTATTCACCGAGCGTAAAGACGCTATGTAACTCGCTAATGAGACCTCACGAGAGAATGACTTTCCGTCACGATGATGCTGCAGAGGAAAACTATAATGGGGTGTGTCTAAGGACACGAGGTTATCGGATTCGTTAAGAAAAGTCTTCGTTCGGAAAGTGAGGGAAATTGATGTTGTTGTTAATTGGTCAATTTCCATGTTGGTGGTTAGAGAAGGATGCTAGCCACCCTTGAGGGAAAGTTGCTAGTGGGAAGCAACAAAGACTGTTTGTCTGTTTGAAGGACTTTAGTTAACTAAATCTTAAAATTTGTAACGGGTCCTCAGGCTAGCTGAACATATACTGTGGAGATGCGTCGACATCTGATAATTATCTTAGCCGAAGAATAAGGTCTGCGTGTAGCGAGCCACGAGACAGAAACCGTTGGAATGTTTACTATCGAGTGCCGCTACAACTATTTCTTTTTAAGGAGAGCTATACTATTACCCCATACCTTTGTTAAACAAAGCGTTCATCCCTTGACCGCGGCTACGTTCGGCGACTGGTTGTCGCCTCGAGCCTAAGCTCAATATCACAAATCTCGAACAAATACAATCGAATTGAATGACGACAATTATTTAATTACAATATCCCCAGTTGTTGGTAATATTTTATCGAATTGCGCAATGTTATTTATACTTATACATATTTACATGCATGTAACGATATTATAATGCGCATTTAAATTTATGCTACATTTTAATTCGATGTTATTGCTATTCGTAGTTTGAAAAGATTGAATTCAAAAGAATGCGAAATATAGAATAAATTATCTAGATTTATGTCTAGATTATGTCATACTGAAATATATTTGAGTAAAGAAAAAAACTTATTTTGTATATTTTGCTAAACATCGCCTAGTGTTGACAGTTTCCGAAAGGCTTAGTATTTTTCAACCACAACCGATTTTTCTTATCGTATGACTCATGACTCATGACTCATGGCTTATCATTTACATCGTCGTATGCTTAAACAACCGTGTAAAACTTTCTCTGACTCAGTATTTGTGACCCACCCTTCACTGTTATCTTTGTTGCTATTTCAAGTACTGCATAATGATTAATATTAAGGAAATATCAAATTTCACAGTTGATTGGCGCGATAATGTCGACGAAGAAAGCGTTAAATTTATTGCGAGATTTCCATAACGTATTGTTATTGATACGCGAGTAATCATAATTAATAACATTATAACGGTAAAAGAAAAATCATTATGTTTTAGTTCTTGAATAAGAACACGTTAAACGAAAGTATTAAAATCAAAATTGTTGAATAAAACCAAATTCACGTATAAAACTTACTCAAATTTTTCAATTACTAAGCTCCTTTTACGCGATTAATAAAAAATCATAGAAGGACAGTAAAGTTAAAAGAGATCAATATTCAAAATAATCAGTATTCAAAAATAGCAATGGTGATCGGTTACAAATCAAATACGGCGTAAAATCTATTCATATCGCATAGTGAAACGGCAGGCTACAGTATACTCTTTAATAAATTACCAACGTGCCTTCGAATAATGCTAGAAAAACAGGAACATCATTACACGTTTAAACATTCATTTTATAAGCACAGCATTCGCTTTTATCATTATTGCAGACAAGCTTTTTTTCATTTCATTTATCTTTTAATATATTTTAAATGATAAATCGTTAAACGAGAACACATTGGAAAATTATAAGATATAAATTGAATATTACGCCATGGGCAAATAAGAAAGATCGTGGAAATATGTTAGATTAATACATTAGTATTGTATGTATTAATACTAACCGCAAAGATGAAGTTAAATATGAAAAGCAGGTATTTTATCATTCCTATTCCACAGCCCATCTTCGTAGCTTTTTTCTTTCCAGCAACTTCTGTTTCGAGAAAATAAATCCGTTAAAATACCAGAAGTAATTCGGAAGACGCGCAGAAAGATGCTCAACAGGTTAGGTTAAAGGACGGCACGAACCAGAACAGCAACACTTACAACACTGACGTCTCGCGTTCAACTGACGCTACTGACGCTAAGCGAAACGAGTTTCAATCATGAAGCGTAATAGCGCCGTACCTGTCTTATCTGGAAAGATTAAAAAAGCTCTTGTATGAATTTCCCATTAATTTTGATAATGTAACATTAAAAAAATGAGTCGTAGAATATGAAATTCACTGAAGGGTTTACTGAAATTTTTAACGATCAATTTTAAACTTCTTAAAAACAATTCAACATCCGACCTAAGAAACTTCTAATAGCAAAGATTTTCGTGCTCGGAACTTATCGAAACTTAAAAATTTGTTATTTCATTTTATATATACATCAAGATTGGGTTTGATTTACTTACAATTATTTACAAACGTTTATTTTGTTCATATTAAAAGTATACAAATTTTTAATCAAAGTGTAAATCACTGACATTCTTGGTATAAGGATAAATCTTATAATAAGAGATTGATTTTCTCGCATTAATATATTAATAATATTTAGTAATATTACTTGATTCTTTGTTAATAATGATTTGCTTACTTTTTGTGTTTAATTGTAAAATGTCTTTCAGCTAAGGAACTTCGTATTTGGTACATTTTGTAAAATGGCACAATATTTTGGCATGAATAGTTTCATAACACCATGCAATGTACATGATATTTTTGTTACTGATATTTATGTTAATATTGGAGAATTATGTATTTAACATATTCAATATAAACGACACTTTTAAAGTAAAGGAACACGTTAAAAAAAGATATCAAAGTACAGCACACAATCTCTATAAAATACTACAATGATTAAAATGAAAGTGCTTATGTAATGGAATACAGGCATAAACAGTAAATATCAAAATACAAATATTCCTTCTGAAGAGAATAAAATTTCAAATTATCATGCATCAGGCACCGTTTTTGAATATTTTCATTGATGATTCAGAAGATTATCGCCTGTTCCGAAATCTTTGGACGCTCGCTCGAGTGACTGAGAGATGACCATCATGTTCTTTCTTCTTTCCATCCTTTCTCGGCATGCTTTTACGTAACATGACATGCACGTTATGAAGCAGACCTAAAAATAGCAATACAATCACATTTCCGATTCTATCTATAGTGGTTAACTGATTAACAGATCTCATTACCTGTAATAATACTGAGCACAGTGCAAGCAAAAAAATATGAAGAAGAATCGATTTAGTACGATTTAATACTACATGCTGACAACCACGTGTATACATGGTAGTACACACGCCTTTATCATCATTAGGATTTGCAAGTGATGAAGTATCGCAACAAGACCAAGGAACTGCATTTTGACTACGATAATCGGCTGGTCCGTTTATTCCACAACAATGTAACTAAGGTAGGAATACGTAAGTATTTAACTCGAATATGATACGTAATATATGAATTATATATTAACTTGAAGTAATTAAATGTACCTTTGAATGCATACGATCCCAACGAGACTTATCGTCCGTTATAGCAAGCTCAAATACATGTTCGAGATGCGCTATTGGCAACAAATCCACTTGTTCATGTCTAACAAGGGCCCAAATTCCAGCGCTCGTGTTAACAATTGTAACAATTATAAGCAGTACAGAAAACTAAATGAAAAATTATATGTTTCTTTATCGAAGATGGATAAGGAAGGAAATCTTATCGAAGAACAAAAAGCGATATAATGATCAGAAATATATAAATGTATATACTTATACACATATATACTTCTAAGTAAAATCCGTTATTGTTAGAAAAAGGTATTTACAAGCGTTATTAATTGATAATTGAAATAAATAATAATTTAAGGTTCACTTACAATTATAACTTGGCCCCTATTTGTGAAATCTAGGAATTGCCAAACGCACCAAGCTATCATACACGTTATCAAACCCATCACGGTCAATATTATCGCTGAACCACATACATTGCTAGACGTGAGGGATGAATATTCATACAACTGGTATATAAAATATCCCGCGCAAACACTTTCTATGATACCGCACACCTATGGACAGTAAACAGAAATTTTTTTGTCATTTATGGTGTAATACAATGAATTCTACGGTGATAACATACTTTAACATCTGTGATAAGCGATGATTAATTATATCTAATCTTGATGTTGCTTGTAATCGTGAGATTAAAGGTTTCGAAAGAGATTGGATGATAAGACATTTTAAGTTTTTATGAAATAACATTTCTCGCAAATTACGAATTTTGATTTTGACATCGATATTAAAGATCGATTTCACTCCCTTTTCCGTGAACAAATCGGTCTTGACATACATTAGCACTATCACTCTATCTACATTTCAATTTCAGTTGTTGACTATAGATCAATTGAACTATAGATCATTATGTTGTTTGTCTATAAGTCCAACACAATATTAAAACCAATGTTACAAATATTTTTAATTAAATTTGATAAAAAATTTTCTTTGAATATATATAATAATGTTCTATTGCACAAATTTGCATTCACATATACGGAAGTACCAGTACGAAGGGTTTGAGCTATCGATAATGCGATAATTTTACTGTGCATACGAGATATTGATATGAAAGCCAAACAAAGTTTATCTACTAGATATCAAAAACTTATGGAATCTATATAAAAAATTTAGTTACGTAAACTCCAATAATTTTAACAAAAGAAAGCACTCTTTTTTCTTATTTTATTCTTATTTATTAATCGATAGATAATAATAATCAATAGATAAAAATAATTAATTGAGAAAAAAAATACATAATAATTCAGAAATCGAAACAGTCTTTATGCTGAGTAATTCATTTCTCCAATTATTTTTAAGACATTTTAATTCTAAATGTTCAATAAAATTCTTCAATTTTTAACTCTTTTTAATCCTTACAATAAAGAAGAATAAATTTCTGCTGCATATGTATTAAAATCGAAGCAATAACATTCGACTACAATCGAATTTCGAAACATAAAGGTTAAAGTGTCCAAAAGAATGACGGGGGAGTAGAATGCATAGTAAGTTGGCGGATATCCAATTCCACGACAAATCTAAAACTAGTCACCAACTGCTAAACACTTAATAATAGAATGTTGAAAAACGGAACTGAGAAAAGGTAATATAATTTGATACTTATCTGAGAACTTAAATAAGACAAATTTTCTTTGAGATAACATTAAATCGTGGTCCATTAGGCGTAAAAATAAACCATTTAAAATAAGGGTAGCAAATTTGCACTTACACCAATGATAATAGCACCACCGATGAGAAAGTACTGTATACAAACAAGTGTCTGTGCCATCACAAATTTATTAATAGAAATCACTTAAACAACATGAACGGAAGGTGTAGTTAATACAAGCCAAGGAAAAGAAGAAAGCGTCACTATCAGGTATCGAAGAACTGTCACCACGGTGACCAGGCGCAAACCTCAGACCTGAACCGACATTCCTTATAGCACTGAGCTACAAACGTAACCAATTATGCTACTAGCCTTATCAATAGAATTCGAATGTTATTACTTCATATAAATAATGTACGTTTCATGTTGCAATATTTCTTTTTCCTCCTTTATTCATACCAAAGGATATATCTACACTTTTGTTTTTCATCGATTAAAATCGAGGATCATGTGTTTTCCATAGACAAGAAATAGTGTAGATGCAATAGAGAATTCTGATGCTAAAATACCGACCTCGCCAAAAAATCGATGATTTTTGCGCCCTCTGTAATTTAGAATGAATACATAAAAAATTACGTATATTGAACCAGAAACGAAATTCAAAATAAATCTGGCATTTTATGGAATTTCTCGTTAACATATTTTGAAATATCCACTTCCAAAAACAAACTTTTTGTGCAGAATCGGTAATGTTGGGGATGACATTGAAATGGTAAAGGAGTACTAGAGCTCCGTATTACGGTATTACATATATAATACAAAAATACATTGAGTCTTAACGTATTGAAAATTTGTGTATGAAATTCCATAACATATCATGTCTATTCTATCACTTGTTAATAACGAAACTTTGGTTTTCTTAATTAATTTAAATCTTAAATGGCCGGTATTTCAGAATATGTGATACAAAATCCCCTAAGATGTCAGATCTGTACTATATCTTGTTAGTGCATGTTGATGTGACTGTATGACTCATATAAGAATGAGTAACAAGATATCCGTTGTTTTGCTTACCTTAGATTACAGATGTGAGCTGTCAGAGATGATAAATAATTTAATATAAGGTTGTTATTTCGTAAATAATTAAATTTATCGATTATGGATCCGAAGAAGAATGAAACTTGTGATTTATCGGATGTTATTTTAAACGAAACTGATACTGGCATGCAAGTATGTGATATTATAGAAGTAAACATTTGTCAAAATTGTATTTTTATTAAAATATAAAACAATTTTAGGATCGTAAGTCATTAAAACGACCAAAGCGTATATTGCATTTTTCGGATGGTGATTTAGAAGAATATTCTGAAGACGAAACAGATGTACCACATATAAATACCACAGTGAATCAAGTAGATCCAGTTAAGTTTTATTCTAACCTGCTATTACATCGAATAATACGACGTAATTACGTATTACGCCGAATTCTATATATTTTATAAATAGTTTATTTCAATGGATTTTATACTAAATTAAAAAATAAAATTACTAGAAATCTCTGACTTGGTTACCGTGGGCATGGTATCAAACCACTTCAATTGGTAATAAAGTACTGGAAGGATGTGATTGTGTAGGTGAATGGTTAGCGGGCTTTTTCGGAATTACATCACCCAAGTATCAGTTTGAAATCAATGAATTCTATAGAATTCAAGCTCTTGAAAATAAAATGCAACGTAAACAGGATTTGGAAATGGGTGGGTGGAACGATCACAGCAAAAATAATATTGTAAATAATGTGCAATAAATGTATCATTAAATTATGCATTTTATAATATTTATTCATTCAATTATTATATTCATAAAGTATTTTATGATTCAATATTGCAAGTGTTCAAAAATCTTTAAGTTGTTACAGTGTTAAATATTTTAACAATTATAATCATTTATTTCAATATTACACATAAAAAATGTCACTTTCAAAAATACCTATGGTATCTTAATCATTTTTTACATATGTATTTAATAGTATAACAACTTTTAGAAATACCAGAATATATTGTATTTGATTAACACAAATTAATATTACAAACATAGAAGTATAAAAGTGTTGTTTTAAGAAGAACTTAACAATACTGTAAGCTTTTGAATTATTTCACATTGGATACTAATTAAAGTATTGTTTAATACAATAGTAATGTTACTGTAAATTGTTACATATTGATATAAAGGATTCATAGTGTACAAATATTACCTTGTTTTAGTAACACTTAGTATTAAAATACTTTCGTGCATAGGTTTGTAATACCAATCTCGCCACAAAAATCTTGTACAATTTATATGTAATGACTTGGAAGCATATACATAATTACTTAATACAATCATATTAAATAAAAATAATTCTATAATTTTAATTATCACTTTTCATATTATAAATTGGCAAAAACAATACTTTGTTATATAAATATCTTATTAGACCTTGAGAATGTTCCCTTAGATACATGTATAATTATTTTCACATAAATATTAAATGTTACTATAATATGAATTGTTCTATTGAAAAGAACAATTAAAATTGTATTTGAAATAAGTGGAATGCTGTCATGTTACACTATTCTATACTAGCAAATTTTGTTATAAAGGAACATTCATAAGCTCTCTATATAATTGCTTTTAGCACAGCATGTATATACCTGCAGTCTTGTATAGCAGGAACTGATATTCATTTTATATACTTATACAAATAGTCTTTTATATTTTCAAAGCTCAAAAAATTATGTTTCTGGCACGAACCTATGTAAAGCACTAGTCAAGACTAGTAGAGAGCTTTGAAGGCCCTGAGGTAAATGTCTTTGTAACCATGAACCTTTATACTGTTCTATATGAGCCAACATTTTGTTTGCTACATCAGTCCTAAATGTAGGAGGCAGATTACATATACCTAAATTAATCACTGCAAGGCCCATATTACTATTTGGATTAACACCAACGCCAATCAATGTTCTGCCAATTTTACATGCTGTTAACATTAAATCAGCGGTCAACTGGAGCTCTTGTAGTTCCATTGATGCAAATTTCGATGATAGACTTCCTTCATATAATGAATGTGAAATACGTTTAACTTGTTTTGTTACTTTCTATTAAATAAAGCGAGAACATTATTCATTTGTCTTTAATATACTCCGGGTTGTATAGTTTTTCTTACCGCAAATAAATCAGCCGAAAGGTATTCTAAATTTACATTATCCGGATCTGTTAATAATCTGTACAAAGTTGATCCTCGATTGTCAGGAATTTGTTGTAGATCTTTTGTTCCTTGATTCTTACTTAAAGTAAGTACTAAAGTATCTAAACGTCCTAATTCTAATATTGCATTACCAATTTTATATTCAGAATCTTGAAAAACATGAATATCTAATAATTTCGTAATACATTTCTGCCTGTAAAATAATATACAATTTCTCTTTTTAACACTTCTATATGAATGTGTAACAATTATACATTATTTTTAATTTAATATACTTATTACCTTGATCCAAATACTTCAGGTATTTCATAGTTATCATTGATACCTATATCTACTTCACTAGCTGGGTTCCATGCCAATCCTGCTGCTATTAAGTATCCAATCCATGCAAAAGGATGAGGAGTAAGATGATGACTTCCAGACCAATGAGCTACAACTATACCCACTGAATCCTGTTCAAGAGAAGTTTTTATTGCGTTCTTTGTATTTGCATATGTTGATGCTGGACATCCTGCTAAACTATTATAACTTGCTGTTCCAGAACTAGGTAATACATTACCACCTGCTGTTCTAAATGCTTCTGTCCATTCGGAAAAATCATAATCAGCCTGTAATATAGTATCTTATAATAACGAATTCAATTCAATTTCGATATTATATTTATTGAATCACATAAAACTTTATTTACCTGAAATCCGTATTCAACAAGAATAATATTACTGGGTATGTTATGAAATTCTGCTTTAGAATGTAAGCCATTTGAACAAAGTAGTAAAGTTGTATTTGGACCTAAATCTAAGATATGCCAAAGTTCTTGGAGACAAGAGTATGATTTAAATACTTCTGACATATCTGTTTCTATAGTTTCATTAACTGACAAATTCAAATCAAGGTTCTCTGCTTGAACAAGCAAATTAGCCAATCTAGGCCCAACATGAACATAACTTAAACTTGGAAATACTGCCAATAATTCTTGGAATATAGGCCACATTTGTGACAAATGATGTTGTCCTACATTAGAATCAACATCCAAAGTTGGAACTAAATCCAAATGTCGATCTCTGAAATAAGAATTATTTACAAAACATATTTAAGTTACATAAACATAAGAATATAAGAAAAATAATGTTACAGAATTGTACACATACCTGCAGTAACGATCTAGAGTAACCATTTCTGATTTTGAATAACATAATTGCCAATCACAATTTGGTGTAAGTCTTGAATATAAATGTAAGTAAGATATTTTAAATGACGACCATAAATCGATCATATGAAGTAAGTATTCTAATGTAGGTATTCGTCCTCTCGGTGAAATATCTAACAGTATACCACGATGAGTAAATCGCGGTTCATCTTTTATAAAAACTGGTTCGATTTCACATGCTTCTGATTTACTATGATTTTTACTTAATCGCAAAATCTGTACAAAAGTACAAACTGCATAATGTAAACCAGCTAAACTTCCAGCACCAACTTTAATAGTATTTTGTGAAATATGCAATTGATATCCTTCAGGTGTATTAAACAGACTTTTATTAACTATACATTCAATTCGATTATCAGTTAATAATTTGCCAGAGCTAGGATGTACTTCACCAATTTTAACGTCATAACCTAATTCTAGTAAATGAGTCCTGCTAATTTCCCAAACATCTAATATTCTGTGTATGGATTCACTACCCTATATAACAATACATTGTATAAAAAACTGAATAAAACAATATTACAGTTGTCTATCAACAATATACCTGTATTATAGATATAAAAAGTTCTTTCCCAGCAATAAAAGATGTAGAAGAATTTTTCAATTCAACAATGGTTTTTGGTTGTGGCCAAAGTAAACTATAAATTCCATCTTTTTCTGTACTTTTAGTGGGGCTTTCTTTGCCTGATTCGCGTAATGGTAAGTCATAAACTGGATCTAATGATTTGGTAGATTCAATAGAAAGTTGACTCATGTTACTTGAAATGCTTTTTTGACAGAAATTTCCATCTGTAAATGTTGCAGTTGGGCTATGCATTGTTTCACTGTCGTTCGATATAAAGTTTGATAAAAATCTTTGAAGAAAACAGTGCAAAGATTGTTTTCCTCTAGTAAGATCATATGGAGTCTTCCCTGCAAAAGTTCTATAACACAATCCTTTAAAATATGTTTAAGCGTATGTTATAGAAATACAATATTGCCTATTTACCCTTTAGTTGCTCGTATAAGGGGATTTGCACCAGCTTGTAATAATTCTTGACAAATAGCAACATCACCACGATTTACTGCATCATGTA